CTTCACTGCATCTCCAGTTTTTCAAAGAGTAAGCTGGAAGGGTCACCTAACCTAGGAGTGAGATGGTGGGCATCCTACTAGCAGGTCTTTTCTGTGACTTGCAGCATGTTATTTACTGTTACAGGTTTCCTCCCACATAAAATGAAAGTTTATGAATTAGCACACTCTAAGATCACTGATTATTCATTCAGCAAGTGTAGAAACGAGCCCCCACCTATGCTAAGCTTTATTGTAGTTGCTAAGAATACAGTGGAATATGAAAATTGTCTTCCTATGTCTCTCTAAGCCATGATTATCTCCTCGTAGTCCAGTGGTTCTCCCAACAATCGCAGGCATAAGATTTACCTGGAGGACTTGCAAAAGGACTTCTGTGTTACTGACCCAGTGTGTCTGGAGTAGAGCCCAGAAGTTTACATTTCTAAATTGTGTCCAGTACTGTGGAAGGTGTAGGGCCTGGGGCCACACATACAGAACTTCCTCACGAATGGATTATCTTCTGCATTAATGCACTGCCAATACATAATGAAATAATAAATATAAGGCACTTTGTTAGGGAGTAAAAAGGAAATGCAATATTTCCTTGAATGACAGAAGGAAAGTCTAAAGTATTATTGTCATCAGAAAGATACAGACAAGGAATAGTTTATGGCTAAAGGAGAATGAAATTACTGCCAACCTAGAAGAAGGAAGATAAGGGAAAATTCTGCAGAGAAGTGTGTTTCAGCTGTTCTTTGAAGAACCCATATACTTTCTTTGAAAACACCCCTGGGGCTTGGGTTGTAGCTCAGTGTGAAGCATGTACTTGGCATCTCTGAGGGCCTGTCTGGCTTCTATTCCCAGCACCAGGAATTTAAATAAAAAATAAAAAGTGTGTCATTATGTAACTTGTCTAGAATTTGTCATTTAAAAATTATTTTTAGTATCTTATATAGACTTTCAGGGCCCACAGAGTCTATAGTTTGAAGTAAAGTTTGAGGGCACTAGGCAAATCCGCATTTTGGCCAAATTGTATTACAACTGTGGGTGACTTAATTATATAAACTTGGTTTTTGTTGAAATGGGGTATATATTTTTAAAATTAAGGCACAGATTTTCTAGTATGTCCAAAGAAATTTCAAGATAAGAGTTTAAAAATGATTTTGAAAAATTGGCTAGTTTATAGTTCCTGAAGGTGGTTACTTTCAAGGACACACCCATTGGTTTTAATACCTTATGTGTTTGTGTAAAAAGATCAGTTTTAAAATGCTTGATATCAGCCAGGTGTGGTGGCTCACGCCTGTAATCCCAGCACTCAGGAGGCTGAGGCAGGAGGATCCTTGAGAGTTTATGACCAGCCTGGGCTACAAAGTGAGCTCAAGGCCATCCTGAACTGCTTAGTGAGACCTTGTCTCAAAAAGACAAAAAAAAAATGCTTGATATCTTGATATATTGAGTGAATCATACTTAAATGTAAGATTCATATTTTTCTTCAGATTGTATGCTGTGCTATAAATATCCAAAATTTAAACTTTCTGGGAATAAAATAGTGTAAACTGTTTTTTCAAGTAAGTTCCTAGGAACTTAAGTGTTTTCCATTACACACTAGTATTAGGAAAAGATACATAGGTTTCTAGGAGCTCTTGGTGATGCTGGGGTGCTCTGCTTATAGATACTAATTTATGTGTCCTGGGCATTGATTTACATTGAGTCACACTGGTGGTAATTAAGGGGCTATAACATTTCTAATCCTCTAGTTTGGAATAAAAGGACCAGAGAACATGTGGCAAATAGTACATCGTCATCATACTTCCTCCTTTCTAGTTTATTCCCACAATTCTTCAATGTCTCTGTGTCATCCAACCTTTGATCCCAGAGAATCTTCAGTATGTCATCAGCTTGCATTAGCTGTATTTCATTAGCATGAGACATAACTAAATTCGGTTTGGTCTATTACAAAGTACAATGACTTAGAGTCTTTACCACTGAGTTCTAAAGGTTCTCAGACCAGCAGCATCAGACTCAAGATATTATTTAGAACTGCAAATTGTTCGTGTAATGTTGCACTTTGGGAGGTTGAGGAAGGAGGATTTCTACGAGTCGAGGTCAGCCTGATCTACAAAATGAGTTGGCTAGTTTGAAGTGTATTGTGAAACCATGTCTCAAAAAATATATAAATAAATAAAAAGAAAAGAAATTGTCCAGATCTACTAAGCCGGATTCGAATTTCCCAATATAACAATAGGTGTCTCTAGGTGCTCCTGATGTATACTAAGGAGCAAAGGTGATTTGTTTAAGACACTATCACTCCCAGCAGTACAGAAACTGTCAGATTAGCTGCACAACTTTCTATGAATTGTACTATTTATTCTATTTGCCTATTACCATGCACATGCCTACTGGATTCAACAGACGATTACATATTTATGTCTAAGACAGTGATGGCGAACCTTTGAAACTGAGTGCCTAAACTGCAACCCAAAACTCGCTTACTTATTGCAAACTGCCACACTACAATTAAACCTGAATACTCAGGCTTTCATTTTACAATTATTATCCAATGCTCACTGTTGCAGTGACTTGGCTTGCATGCTGACTGTGGCATACGTGTCATAGGTTTGCCACCACTGATCTAAGACATCCATGGTCAAAATTCAGACAGACAGACACATACACACACACACGACATGGCAGCAATGGCATAAAAAAGAAACAAGTGAATTTTAAATTATCTGAAAGGATACTAATGTCAACTCTTTTTATTCATATTCTAGTGAAAGAATTAGGGGTAGAAATACTACTATTACTAATGCAAAAACAATAAAAGCAAATGGACTGCTAGTGGTATTATTCTGTTTCCTTGACACAATAGGAAATTATTAATTATTCTAAATATATCTTATCACTTGCAGATACATACACACTTTAGAGTGTGCTGGGTGAACTAGCTATGTCTAAGAACTATTAAAACATCCAACAGCAAATAAACATTGTCTTTATTTGTAACTAAACCATCATAATTGTTCCAAAGTCTATTTCTTGGACTAGGATACTCAAGCAATAAGATAAAATTGTTTGCTGAAACTTTGTGTAATAACCTTCTGAAAAGGCATATGTAGAATTAAATGATTCTCTGTTTTGAAGTTGAATCATAGGCTATGAAGCAGTGCGTATCATTATATCCAGAAACATATAATACAATTCCTCTAATTTGAAATTTTCTAATAAATACATTTTAAAAACATAAAATGAGTGATACTGAAATCAAAATAATTTAGTCCTATGTATCAAAAAACTATTTCAACATGTAAACAACAAAGTTAATAAAATATTTCTACTTTTGTTGTGGTTAATCCTCAAAATCATGTATGTGTTTTATATGTCACCTCAATTAGAATGCTAAATCTTAAATGGAAATGTTATGGGACACTTAGATTCACAAACTCAGGTTTGTTTGCTCGCCATTTGACCAAGTCAAAAGCCATTTATTTTTGATAAAAAGGAACAAGAATCTATTCAAAGCTACCCAGAAAATATGTAGTGGCCTATTTGCCTCAGATCACCATCTCACCTTTTGTAGAGGTGTGTTATGGTCTTTTATAGCAAAGGACAGTAATAGGAGAGGATACAATGAGACAATGAATATGTTCAAGATTGTTTCATCTTTCCCTGGAAATGAAATCGGACTTGAATTCCTGATGCCAGCATCTGCATATTTTGTCCCTTCATCTAGGCTGATGTGAGATGGGGTTAGCTTTTCATGCCCTTGGCCTGAGGAATTCTGAAAAAGCCACATTTTCTAAACGAAAAAATTCTTTTAGTGCTCCATTTTGTGGTGCCAGTTATAAAGACACTTTATTTTTGTCTACAATTAGTAACATTTATTTGTACAGAGATGCTGTATCTAAATTATACCAAATAGTAAGGTCCAAATAATCTAATGGGCCATAAGTTTTTCCTCTGAAACTAATAAAAATTTTAAATTTAAAATTCAATATCTCAATCACACTAGCCATATAAGGTAGCACACTTCTGTGGATATGCAAGATAAGACCTACATCAGAATGCTGGCTTTGCAATCTAGGAATGCTGGCACACACACCTGTGTAAGTCCAGCACTCTGAGAGACTGATTCAGGTTTACAAACTTGAGTCTCACCTGGAGAATTAAGCTAGAACCTACCTCAAAAACATAAAAGGGCTGTAGATGTAGGTCAGTGTGAAGGTTTGGGTTGAATATCCAGCATTAAAAAACAAACAAGCAAACAAAAAAATTGACTTCACCTTTTCTTGGCTGCTTGGCCTTCCTTTACCTAACTCTCTCCAAGCTTCAGTTCCAAATGAAAAGGGATTGCACTCATTCTATTTTAACTTCTGTCTGCACAATCAGTGGCAAAAGAGAAACTACTTTTCATGGTAGTGGTGCAGGACTTACAACATCACAGTCTACAATACAAACAGAACTAATCTAAATGCCCATAATATAAGAACCGTTAAATGAATTCGATTAACCGATACTCTGCAGCCATAGAGTTCTATTTATTATTACTCACTAATCAGTATTAAAATCAATTAAGAGACCAACATAATATGAAAAGGATGTTGGCTGTGTGTACAGAGAAAAACCCAAGAAGGATCCGACAGCAGTTAAAGGAAGCAAAGGGGTTTGGTGGGGATTTTGTTCCAGGCAGCTAACTTCTTTCCTTTTTGTTTTGTTAAAGGGGGGGGTTATTTGGTATTTTAAAACGCAGCACTCAAGTTTTTTAAATACTATACTTTTCCTTCATGGTCTAGAATGTAATTTTAAAATAATTTAAGCTGAGCTAAAGAGAAAGGGCTCTATGAAAATACTCTTTATCAAACCCTAAAACACGCCCCTTCAGATCAGCTTTCGGTCGGCGGTTTCCCGCCAGTGGAAAGCCAGCAACTGCCTTTGACGTCAGAAGAGGCCGACGCTCCCGGTTACCATAGTGAAGTCTGTGCGGCCATTTTTAGTGTGGTCGATTCAAATGGAGCCTGTTGTGACTGGCGTGGAGCGGCGCGGAAAGTCTGAGGAATAACAGATGAGGGGAAAAAATCATATGTCTAGGTAAGAACCACAAATGACCAAGAGAGGAAAACGTTAGCTGCATGAAACCTTTAGATGCATGTTCCGCCCAGACGCGGAACTATTGTAGTGGTCCCCTAAGGTTCCTGCCCGGATTTCGACAAGCGCTTCCGTTGCTCAGCGGAAGCGCGGGTCGTAGAGGACAACTCTTGGAAGAACCCGCTATCGGCTGTGTGGAAAGCTAGAATCATGTCGAGTTTGTCAGTGAGAGACCCGGCAATGGATCGATCACTGCGTTCGGTGTTCGTGGGAAACATTCCGTATGAGGCAACTGAGGAGCAGTTAAAGGACATTTTCTCGGAGGTTGGTTCCGTTGTCAGTTTCCGGCTCGTGTATGATAGAGAGACGGGAAAGCCCAAGGGCTATGGCTTCTGCGAGTACCAAGACCAGGAGACCGCGCTTAGTGCCATGCGAAACCTCAATGGGCGTGAGTTTAGTGGGAGAGCACTGCGGGTGGACAATGCAGCCAGTGAAAAGAATAAGGAGGAGTTAAAGAGCCTAGGGCCTGCAGCGCCCATCATTGACTCTCCTTATGGGGATCCCATTGATCCAGAAGACGCCCCTGAATCGATTACCAGAGCAGTAGCCAGCCTTCCTCCAGAGCAGATGTTTGAGCTGATGAAGCAGATGAAACTCTGTGTGCAAAACAGTCACCAGGAAGCTCGAAACATGTTGCTTCAAAATCCGCAATTGGCTTATGCACTGTTGCAGGCACAAGTGGTCATGAGAATCATGGATCCTGAGATCGCCCTGAAAATTCTGCATCGCAAGATACATGTCACTCCACTGATCCCAGGCAAATCTCAGTCTGTCTCTGGCCCTGGCGCTGGCCCTGTTACTGTCTCTGGCCCTGGCCCTGGCCCTGGCCCTGTTTCTGTCTCTGGGCCAGGCCCTGTTTCTGGCCCTGGCCCTGTTTCTGGTCCAGGCCCTGGGCTTTGCCCAGGACCCAATGTTCTGTTGAACCAACAGAATCCTCCAGCTCCTCAGCCTCAGCATTTGGCAAGAAGACCTGTGAAAGACATTCCTCCTTTGATGCAGACTCCTATCCAGAGTGGAATTCCAGCCCCGGGGCCAATAGCAGCTACCGTTCCTGGACCTGGACCTGGACCTGGTTCCTTAACTCCTGCAGGGGCAATGCAGCCACAAGTTGGAATGCCAGGAGTGGGCCCTGTTCCTTTAGAGCGGGGACAAGTACAAATGGCAGATCCTAGAGCTCCTATACCTCGTGGCCCCATGACTGCTGCTGGCCTACCTCCTCGAGGACTATTAGGAGATGCTCCAAATGACCCACGTGGAGGAACTTTGCTTTCAGTTACTGGAGAAGTAGAACCGAGAGGTTATCTGGGTCCACCCCATCAGGGTCCTCCCATACACCATGCATCTGGTCATGATAATCGTGGCCCTTCTGCACATGATATGAGAGGAGGACCAATAGCAGATGCCAGACTGCTAATGGGAGAGCCCAGAGGACCCATGATAGATCAAAGGGGTCTACCTATGGATGGTAGAGGAGGCAGAGAATCTCGAGGGATGGACACTCGAGTGATGGAAACTGAGGTTTTAGAAACTCGAGTAATGGAGCGCAGAGGAATGGAGACCTGTGCTATGGAAACCAGAGGGATGGAAGCAAGAGGCATGGATGCAAGAGGACTGGAAATGCGGGGCCCTGGACCTAGTTCTAGAGGCCCTATGACTGGTGGAATCCAGGGACCTGGTCCCATTAATATAGGGGCAGGTGGCCCTCAGGGACCTAGACAGGTCCCAAGCATATCAGGAGTGGGGAATCCTGGAGGTGGCATGCAGGGGGCAGGCATACAGGGAGCAGGCATGCAGGGAGGAGGAATGCAGGGAGCAAGCATACAAGGGGTGGGCATGCAGGGGGCAAGCAAGCAAGGTGGAGGCCAGCCTAGCAGTTTTAGTCCTGGGCAGAGTCAGGTAACTCCACAGGATCAAGAAAAAGCAGCTTTGATCATGCAGGTTCTCCAACTGACTGCAGATCAGATTGCCATGCTGCCTCCAGAGCAAAGGCAGAGTATCCTGATTTTAAAAGAACAAATCCAGAAATCCACTGGAGCTTCTTGAAAGGTTTTGGAAAGTATTTGGCTATAGTCTCATAAAGTTAATTTTGTAGAATGTGAGTGCAGAAAGTTGACTTCTGTTTCCCAGGCTTTATTGATTAGTTTCCCTCTTAGATACCTTATCTCATTTATTTTTTTTTCTGTTTTTATCTTTAATTTAGAGTAAGAGGGAGGAGTTGGTTTGTTCATTTTAAGTCACTGTAAATGTGCAAAAATAACTGAAAATGATTACTTTATGTCAAATAAGATAAAGTATGCAGCAATATTGAAATGTCTAATACGTTAATTACATTTTAAAAAATTGAGTAAAACTGAAAACCACAAAGACTAAAAAGTGACTTGTTAAAATGTTAATGTACTAAGTTTTAAGAATATTTGGTTGTATAACAAGGAAATTTACTTAAAAGTTACATATTTTTGGTAAACTATTCAAAATACAAAAATCCTATTTTAGAGGCAGTAGACTGCTGTATTAAACGTTGTTCTTTTGGAATCACTTTGAAATGTTAGACCTGGCAGGATGAGGAAATTGGTGTTACTAAAGTTGTTTTTTTAAGAGCTAATGTTACCTTTAAAAATCAGGGAGTGTTTGGTTTGATGTTGCTTCATTTATCTCACTTTTTATGGACTAGCAATAAGTCTGGCCTGGTCCTTACTATGATTTTATTGGAATAGTTGTGAGATAATCCAAGTTTACTTAAGTTTCCTCTAAAGAGATCTAATAATCTCTCAGTACCTTTCTGTTCTTAGAACTCTTTAAGCCCTAAATTTAATTCTGAGAATTCTCTCAAATCCTTGGCAAAAATCAGTGTCAAGGAACCTTTTGATCTGAATGAGTTACACATGGCATTGGGCTTTTCATAAGTAATAGGAAGACTCATTCAGTTAAGTTCCAACTTCCTGATAATTAGCATCCATATATATGGTGTCCATTGGTCAACTAGTCTTAGGAGTTTAAAATTAATCTTGATATTTACCATGCCTTTTAAATTTTTATAATCTGCTTTTTTGCCATTTTAGTAGAATACTTGAGGCCCAGATAGGTAGATACTTATAAATTCAGTACTCTGTTACTTGGCTTATTAATCATTTCACGCTTTACAAATATTAAGCCATTTAGCAGTATACATTCATGAGATACATTTACAGTATTAGAGAATATGACATTAGGGATTGTGATATCATTAACACATTTTTTTTTTTTTTTTTTTAGAGCTGCTACCTAATTTATTTTTAAGCCTTGAGGATATGGGCACAAACATTTGTAATTAGAGTCCAGTAGCAAGTAATAGACGTGTAAACTTCCAAAAACCCAAGGTGATCTTCCTCTGGAGGAGAAAAATCTACTAGATTACAGGAAAAAATATTTAATACAAGGAGAGAATTTAGTCTTACAAAAGGGGTTATTTCCCCTTTATAAGGTTTTACATTTTAAAAAGATCATTTTTTTCCCCTGTATTTCTTTTCATCCCTGTGCTGTTTCCTACTAATTTTACTCTTTTGTAGTGGTTTATACTGTTAAATTTCCTATGTTTTCTGTATTTTATCTATACTAGGAAGGATAATTCTTGTATGATAATTCTGTCAAGTATGTACTGATTCACAGACCTGGCTAGCTTACTTTGAAATTGATGTTTCTTTATCCCAAAGCTTTCACTGAAAGGCTTTGTGAAACTATTAAATGTTATAGTCTTTGTTCCAGTAAAAACCTGTGTCTTGTTTAATGAAGACTAAATAAAAAGGTTGTACATGTAAGGATGACTTTAGTATTTCTTAAATTTAATTAATTTTGGGTTTTATGTTTGTTTATTTTGGGCAGGGTGTTTGAGACAAAGTCTCATGTAGTTCAGGCTGGCCTCAAGCTCCCGGCAATCGTCATGCCCCAGCCTACCTACTAAGTGCTGGGACTGCAAGCGTGTGCCACCATGCCCAGCATTTATGTTTAATTTTAACAAATAACATTATTCAAAAGACATCCATTCTTTAGAGATTCCTAGAGTGACTTTTTTTATAAAAACATTTTATAGAAAATAATGAAATTGCTGGAATGAAGGGAAAACGCCTTTTTTAAGATACAAGCATGGTGCGAATGCTTCTGTAATCCCAGCATTTTGCAAGCTGAGGCTGAAGGATCTCTAGGAGCTTAAAGCTAGCCTGGGTTATAGAGTGCGTTCATGGCCAGCCTGAATGACATAATGAGACCATCTCAGAAGACCAAAAGACTAAATTACAATCAAGACATTTGCCACTGTGGTTGGCTATCAGAAAAAAACATGTTGGTACTTAGACATCAGGCTTGTGTGATGTTTGTCAGAATTCTGTTCCAAGCGCCTTTTAAAGGTATCTTCATTGCCGATAGCATCTGTTTTATTGCAGTTAAACAACAGAACTATCTTACTTCAGTATTCACTATAACAAAAATCACAGGTAATACTCTATCAGTCTTAGGGGCATTTTCTTGGAAACATAAGATTCCTACAACTTTTTGCATTAAAATATTTGAACTATGATAATCCCTTTAACTCTCCTAAAATAGTTTCACCTCACTATCTGAATGTTCTAGTGTTGATACAGATAGAACCTTACTTCACTTGATAGCAAATAATTTAAGCAATATGTTTGCTACAAGAATCTATGTTTTACTGGACAACCATTGTTTACAACTAACATCTTGCATTTTTACTAATATGTACAGACTACAAATCACAAATTCCTTAGTAAGAGTTAAACGTGATAGGGTATAATACTGACGAGCCAAAGCTTCTTTAGGGCTTATTCCTCTTGGGCAGGACATGGTTCTCATGGTTTTAAAATGATAAATCAGTGCCTTCCTACCAGCCTTGCACCTTTCCTATTAGTGGTACTTCCACTTTGGCTGATTTCCTAGGACTTCTAATTTTGGACTTGTTAAGATATATGGCAGTCTAGCCGGGTGTGGTGGCTTACGCCTGTAATCCCAGCACTCAGGAGGCTGAGGTGGGGGGATTATTTCGAGTTCGAGACCAGCCTGGGCTACAAAGTGAGCTCAAGGCCAGCCTGAACTGCACAGCGAGACCCCATCTCAAAAAAGACCAAAAAAAAAAAAGATACATGGCAATGTGAATTTGAAGCAAAAGTGTAGGTGAGATGATGTATGACTTTTCAACTACGGTTTTCAGAATTCTTATAGTAGAAAAGCATTTTAAAAAACTATAAAATCACAGCTTGCAAAGCTTCTTACTTTTCCATTCTGTGATGGGACATAACTAAGCACACAAAACCTAATGTCCTGTGATGTGTCAGGCCTTTTCTCTTAAGTCTCAGGGTAATTATGTGTAACAACCTACTGTGGCACAGAAGTCCAATTTTCAGTCACATGTCAGTATTCTCATAAAAGTATCAGCCCCTCACAGCTTTATTTCATTAGCTAATCTCTAGACGGACTTCTCATCGGTCTCATCAAGAATGCGCTATAGCCAAGAACTAATTTATCTAGAGGAAATTACAAATGTATTAAGACTATTCAAGGTTATGTTTGTTAATATATATTAATATTAGATATGATATTGGTATATAGTATGCACATACATATTTCAAATCTTAACCAGAACTTAATTTTTCATTTGTATTTATATACCTGAAACAAATTTATTCCTTTAGGTAAAAATGTTGCTTCACAAAGTAACACTGCATTGATATTACAAAATTACCTTTCTTATGCAATATTAAATCTCATGTTTCTTGTTATATTTTTCCCACAATGTGTAACATGTCACTAGAGAGTGTTTTGTGTCAAAAAGTCACATTTGGAAGCTGGGCATGGTGGGACACTCTTGTAATCCCAGCACTCAGGAGGCTGAGGCAGGAGGATCCCTGCAAGTTTGAGACCAGCCTGGGCTGCAAGGTGAGCCTGAGGCCAACCTAAACTGCATAGTGAGACCCTATCTTAAAAAGATAAACAAAAACAACAGTCACATTTGAAGTAACACTTTCAAAAATACAAAGCGAAATACAGCAAATACTTTACAGAAATACATCCAACTATTATAGGAGAGATGGACATGATCATTGTATGTTATATGCATATATCAAAATGCCAGAAACTTGGCATTTTGAAAAATCAATAAACACAAGTAAAATCATTTTTAAAAAGAATACCCAAATATTTGCCAACCATAAAGTAAATGGCTACTTTAAAATTAGGAATTGATTTACTCAAAACCAACTAGGAGTTAATTACCCAAAGGCAGGTAAGTAATTATTAAGGAGTTGTAACAAAATGCACAATAGTCTCAAGCATAATTAATTTTGTATGATTCCACATATATATAATGTATATAAATACTTGGAATTATTTGCTGTCTCACAGAAGTGGAGTGGATAATCTCTTTGGTAATAAAAACAAAGCCATAATTTGTCATCTGTTTCAATCAGAATTTTCTTATTACTTTAAAAATATTCTTCAATAATTCTACTCTAAGAATCTATGATAACATCAAGAGGTACCTGCTAGCTTCTGACTATATTACTACCTTAACTTGTTGCCTGGAGGATGTAGTAACCTCTGCTAATTTACATACTTTTATTGGGATATTAGTGTGAAGGCTTCAAATTAATCTTCCTCAGAAAAGGATACATTTATTGTAATTCATTTCAAAATTTCCCTTGTGTTGAACATTCACATCAGTGATATAAAAAATGGGTACCACATTAAAAAAGGCATAGTTGAGTCAATGTAATAGAAACACCAATATTGGGTTTGCATTACATCCCTAAAGTCACACTTTCCCTAATATCATCCTTGTTCATTTGTTGAACCAATGTAGTAAAATAAATCAGAATTGAAAACCCTGCCAAACACAACCTGTCTACACATAGTTTCCAATTTGGCTACAGGTTGTGCCCACTTCTCTGGTTTTATACTAGGTTTGATTTATACAGTTGCCTCCCAATTTCTGTCATACTATGGGTTTACAACTTTTATGTTGAATAAAAAAGCTATTTATTTAATTGAAATTATTAGTGTATAACTTTAAAAATGTGCAATTAGAAAAACTGGTTCAGTAAATATATTTTTGCAAAACCAACCATAACAAACCAACATCCAGTGCAAACAATGGTTTTTATTCATAAATTTTTAAAAACTATGTTATGCAAAGAAATGCCCTGAAATGCTAAAGCAATCAATGTATTTCTTTTGCAAATATTTTAGATTAATAAAAGTAACCCAAAGCAACTATGGTCTGCTTTTTGAATTAAAAATATGTTCACAAAATAAGAAATTGATACTGTAATAGTACCTGTTAATAACTCAAGAATGGACATGAAATTTCTCTGTTAATATCTAATTTTAAAGGATGAGATGGGCATGGTGACATACACATTGTAATTTCAGCATTGTGGGAGAGTGTGACAGGAGGATCACCAATTTGAGTCCTATCTCAAAAAAGGGGCGGCAATGTGGCTCACCATAAAGGACCTGAATTCAATCCCCAATACTGTAAAATAAATAAATAAATGTATACATAAATCTTTAAAAATGATCCACTATGCAATTTCTATATATCAATCACAGTGATTTAAAAGAAAATAGAATAGTAACTTTATGTCATTCCTTGTTTAAAATCTCTTATGGCTTTTATTGGTCTTTGCTTAAAATCAAAACCCATATGATGCCCTATATAAAGCCCCAAGAGTAAATTTGTTCCTCAACATATCAACGTCATATCCTACCACAGCCCTCCTCCCTCACTGCTACACACACTTTGTGTATAGCTTCCTCTCCATCAATTTGCCAAACTTATTCTCAACCCTGCACTTGCAGTTTCCTGTGCAAGGGCACCCATTCTTTCCCCAAGACTCTGAAAGCTGAGTTGATTTCCTACTCAGCTCTCTACTTACATACCATTTGCCCAGCAAAGCTTTTCCTGGACAAAGCATCTGCTTAAATGGCCTTTCCGTTTTCTCTCTTCTGCTTGCTTTTTAATTTTTTTTTTTTCCACCAAGACTCATTCTCTTATCTGAGCACCAAACACTCTGTCAGATCTATGTTCTTCCATTATTTTACAAGGCATATTGATTGTTCTGTGCACACATGAAATGATGATACCCGTAGTAAGTTACTGTTTAATTTGGCTTTCTAGGTTTATTATGTCAACCGTATTTGTCCCAGAATTACTGCCAGTTGCACTTATTATTATATAGGTGCACATATAGGCATAGACAGGTATAGATGGATATAGAGATGCTGTGCATATAAACTGACTTCATATATAAAATATTTCTATGAAAATTATATTTTCAGTATATATTTGTAACATCAATATTGTTTGATTATAAATCAGACTATGGCAATTGTATTTATTTTTAATAAAGATAGATAATCACATGAATATGTAAACAAGTTATTTCATTTTTTTTCTATTGTGTTTTGAGACAGAGTTATGCTACTTAGTTCAGGCTGGCCTCAAACTCTTAGCAATCCTGCCTCCTAATTGGTGGGATCACAGCTATGTGCTACCACAGTAACCTTAAAAATAGGCTTTTTTGTATAAAAATAGTATTGAATGATTTAGAAATATTTTATAAATGTGAAGTTGGGAGTCATAATACGTGCTTATAATTTTAGTGCTTTGGGAGACTAAGGCAGGAACACTGCAAGTTTAAGTCCAGCTTGGGGAATTTAGAGACTTAGTGAGACAGCCTCAAAAACAAACAAACAAACCAAAAATTAAAATAGAGCTGGGGATGCTGCCAAGGGCCTAAGTTTCCATCTC